CCTTTCTACCTCTTCCTTTAGCTCTGCTACCATGCTGTCATGGTTTTGCTCTGGGTCAATTTTTTCTCACCTCCCACACAACTACTGTAAATTGAGAGAAGGTTTATGCAGACAAAAGAGACCTGATTTGGGAAAATAATATTAACATTTATTACTAGCAGGATAAAAACTAAAGAACTACATCTACAATAATTCTAATTAGATAAGAGTACTATGTATTTACAGAAATACCCCTCCCCCCTTTGTATCAGTTCAAGGAGGAGAAAGCAGTCTCGTTCTCCATTTCCAGAGCTCCAGGTCTTTAAAATAACTTTGCAGCACTCAAAAGTTCTTCTATCTCTAAGAAGACAACTCCGATTTGTTGCAACTGGAACCGTTTCTCTTTATCTCTCTCTTCTGTGTCAGCCTCAGGGCTGGGCCTAACCCCCTCCTGGGCTAAGACCGGAGGCTGGGGGTTACCCAGGCCCTGAAGGTCTTCCATGGACTGCAAGGGGACACTTGCATAGATCTTCACCTCAGGGTCACAGGGGATAATGGCTTTTGAGTCCACCCCTGTTTCCTGTGGGGTCCCTCCTGTGGGGAGAACAGTCCTTAATAGACTTTTCCGACATGAGTCCATCTCTCAGACAACAAGGTCTTCCATTCTCTGCTGTCTCTCAGGGTCACAAATTTAGCTGCACCAGCATGGATCCCTCACTCGGATCCCAACATCTTACCCAAGCTGTTCTGCTCCAGCTTAAGTCTCTCCATGCCTTACAAGCCTCCAGCAGGACTCTGTTTTCATTTCAGGTCTTCTCATGAAGTCTCAGCTTCTTCGTGCATCCACAAGCTCCTCTATGAGCTGCATGGGTTTCTCTTCACTCCAATAATCTTCCACAGGTGGCAGGGATTTATTTTTAAGTCTTTTCCCTGCTGAAGGGAGGGGAGAGGGGGAGAAGCAGCTCCCCCCTTAGAACTTTTCTCTCTCCTGCTGCAGCTTTGGCCTTGAACACTTTGTTATCTCTCTGCCAGAATTCCTTTTGCAGCATGTCTTGTCCAGGTTCTTCTCTAAAGGTTTTGTTTCTTCTCTATTCTGTTATAGGAGAGAAGGGGGACTTCAGTGCCACACCTGCCCCCAACCTGGGGTGGGGGGGAGGCCTGGCCCCCACCTGGGGCCTGACACCACTCTCTACATAGCTCCCAATTTCAACCGCGCCACAGTCTTCTCCGTTTTCTTAAATATGTGATTTGCAAAGGCGTTACTAAGAGTTTTGATTGGCTTTTTCTCCAGAATTCCACCTGGACAAAACCATCCTCAGCCCCAGGGGCTGGCTGTGGACAAAACCACAACACATGCACAGAAAGTCATTCACCTGCTCTCATCGCACACAGGTGCCTCTCACAATGTCTTCTGGTACTGATGCCAGGCTCAAAGAGTCTGTGCAGCCAGAGACCTGAATGGCTGCATCCTTCTTGGAGGGTTCTGTCTGTGTTAACACAATCCTAGTAGTAACGAGAGTGACAGCATACATTCTTTTGGAAAACATTATTGGCTTTAGTTGAAAAGTGAGAGAGGGGGGAGAAAAAAGGTCACCTGAGAGATCTAGGAGGTGGCTATGCCCTGTCTGTTCACCCTGCCTGTAGTAACTGCCATGCAAACTGCCGTGCCACACGCTCACTGACTTGCCACGCTCCAGGTCACCGCGCTCCCTGGATACCTTTGTATAGCCCTCTCTAGTACCTGCTAACGAGCCTGTCCTGCCCCTCTCTCACCTGAGTGGGTTCTGAGATGCAGATAATCCCGGGCTTGTGCATGTTTAGCCAAGAGTGGGCTCTGCTGACAGCCGCAGCTCCAAGGCAGCAGGGACCATCCATGGAGGCTTATCCATCGGCAGGCCAGCAGGTCTAACAGATACTCTGGGCAGGATGAAGGCTGTGGCCAGAAGTAACGCAGGTGTGCAGGAGATATTCCCTTTCTTGGTCCTCCACAGATGGAAAAATAGAGCACCCTGGATATAGGAAAAGCCGGACTTGCCGCTGGAGGACCTTGACCAGAAGTGCGTGGAGCCTCTTCCCTTGTGGAAGCATCCTAAGAGCAACTGATTGGGCACTGGGGGCTCCAGGACTCTTTCATCTGTGCAATTTGCTGCTGGTAATGCCTTTCTTGAAGCCTGAAGCACTCTTATGGCTTCTAGGCTTTTCCTTGCCAGTTGCATTCTCAGGCATGACACAAGTCTCCTGACAGGTGCGGTTCCAAGGGAGAAGGGAGACGAGAGAGAGGACTCCCTGTGGACAGGACTCCAGCAGGTCTCCCAGAGCCTCTGCCAGGGATGGAGTCTCTTGCCACAAGGAACTGCGATGCCGAGAAATTCCTCTCCTGCTCTTGCCATACCGCATTGGGAGAGAGCCCTGGACTTGGGAACACCTGCTTTTGCTGAAGGAGACGACCCCCCACACGTTGCTGCCCAGGATCCTGATGTGGCACTGCCGCAGCTTCCTGGGAGGCAGGACTCCAATCCATGGAGACTTATCGAGCTGGAGTCCAGTGTTTCTCTTGGAGGCTCTGGGAATGATGAAGGCCCTTGGCTCAAACAAGGGATCTGTAGAGATATTCCGCATGTGACTCCTGCACAGCTAGCTCCAGGGAGCATCCTGGAGATGGGAACAGCTGCTTTTTCCCACTGGAGGATATTGTCCCATACGGCGCTGCCATGGCATCCTTGGAGCCATTGATTTGGCACTGGCAGCATCCCCTTGCTAAGTCTGTCCTTCTCTCTGCACCTCTTTGTCTAAATCTTCCTGTTGGTTTCCCATGATGCCCAAAAAAAAGGCAGGTAAATAAAACCGCTCAAAGACAGAGTTTGAAGTCCTTAAGCAGCAAGGTATTTATTGACTATTGATGACACCAGGGAGATTTACCAGTTCGGGCCAGGTAAAAGCTCCAAAGTGATTCAGTAAGAACAAGCAATTTATACATTTTCTGATCATGATTACAACATAACTTCATGCATATTCATATTATTGCATCATTTGATTATATTCATAGCAGGTAGAGTCGGGGCAGAGACTGAGGCGTGGTTCTCCATTTTGAGGAATATTTTAGTGGGAGTTCCTGTTTGCCTTCATCCTGGGGTCTGCTTTCTCAGTCCTCATCCTCACATCACCTCGGGGACCTTTCGTACTTTCTATTGTTCTGTGTTCTGATCATTCAGGCTTAAAGAAACCCTTGGCTTTAGGCCCACTTTACCTATTCAAATGTCTACCTTGGCTCCTCTGGATGAGATTTATGGGCGTTGAGTTCTTTGTCCAGTGTTTGTTGTGGTTCCTTTAAGGTCTGATGCCCTCAGTACAGGACAAAGTCTTCCTGTACGAAATGTAGCTTAGAGTAAATGAAATATAGCTTTCAGTAAACTGCAAGTCGTACAGGGGGGTAGGGGGGCTCTTATGGGTTTACAGTAAAAGTGTTTTGGTTAACCCTTCCTATTTCACCCATTCCGGGGACATTGGAACACAGGCATTTCAGGAAGGGTCCCAGGAGGACAGTCCATAGTCATATCTTGTAGGCTCATGAGAAGAAGAGAGCTCTGCTGAACAGAAGCAAAAAAGAAAAAAAAATCTAGAAAAGCAGTTACTTGTCTCATCTTAAAACAGAAGTCAAAGCAGTGCAATAGAACATCGAGCCAACTACAATTTTTATGACAGCTTTTATACAGCTTGGAAGTCAGAGTTTTAACCAGAAATTGCAAAATATTCATGTACTACTCCAAGGAAGTTTTATTAAACTCTTCATTTCTATTTCTGTCCTGCTTTCTGGCATACAAAGTTTGTCTGCAGGTCAAAGAAGGACAGACTCAAGCTTGTATAGGAACTACATTTCTTGAATTCATTCCCGTTACCAGGCTGTAAATATTCTTGACTTCTAATCCTTAAAACATCACCTTTTCAAGGGAGATCACTAACTGGAAAAATAGCTAAATTGAGTCATAGAAGAATAAATGAGTTTATTCGATTGTTTCGGTATTTCAGTAATCAAAACCTTGAACCCCTTTTCACAATAGAGACATTTGTTTTTACAATGTTACCATATGGCACAAGATTCAATTCAACAGTCATCCATTTGTCTGTCTTACCTATGTCAGAACTATAAACTTGAGTTTTTCATTCTTTTGATACTGACAGCATGGGATCAAGAACTAGGAGATATCAGGACAAAAGTTCATCCAATACACACCCCCAAAAATACTTCCAAAAATATACACTGATTTTTAAAAAGTGAAGATATTTTCATTGGTCTTGACGGAGCAGTTTCTTCCACTAATAACCCAGGATGGAGCAGGGAACAGAAGGGACCACACTGTGCTGTGCAAGGCTCCCATGATGTAGAGTCCAGGCTACCTTGCAAAGATTTAAATAACCTTGGCATGAACAGCAAACTGTCAATGCAATTTCCAGGCCTACATAGGAAAAGGATGTAAGTACGGGGCCTTAAGGGCAGCCGGGAAAATAAAATATGCAATTGTTCCAGCAAAGCCAAAGGCAACCTAATCTCTTAAAAAGCAACAAACGGTAAATAAATCCTCCTTTGGGCTTCTTACTGACTGAGAGTTCTGACAGTCACAAGCAACTGCTGCACACAACTTCTTTCATAAAGACATCACAGAATTATTTGCCTCCTCTCCTAAGTCTCTGGAAACTGCTTCCAGAACTCTGCTACTGGGAAAGGTAAGGCCACCTCCCAGCTCTGGGAGATTTCAGGACTCTCAATACATGCAACTTGTTAACCTCAAGGTCATTTGGGAGCTGAGGGAGTATGGGGGGAATTCCAGGTAAAAGACTTTTCTAAAAAAACGGGGCATTTCAGTGCCTCATCTCATTTACTTTAAGCACAGCATTGCCTGCATGTTCCTTCACTACAACAAGGATAATTGTCCAGCCACCTTTTCTCCTTCAGAACACTACAGAGTGTCCTTCACAAAACCTTGGTGTTAGTTTGCCTGTGTCAATAAACTCTATTCACCTCAAAAAAAAATGTTTCTTCTTTCCTTTCCCTGGACTCTGTGTCAGCCTTAAAACACCCCAGGGATGAGCCAGTAGGGCACTGCAGCAGTGTAGTGCTTCCAGTCCTTCCCATATTTGCTGGAACAATGGTGCTCGTCCCTAATGCAGCGGTGGGGGAGCAGAATGGTCACAGAAATGATGCAGATGTAAGGCAAGATGTGTGCAAACCCACAGGCCAGGCAATAGGCCAGCGAGCCTAGCAGGTCTCCTGCAGAGTTGCAATGACGAGCCCACCCCCAAAATCCCCAGGTCATCAACTTGCTGTAATACTTGGTGCCATCCACACACATGGAGGAGCACTCGATGTCCTTGGCTTTCTTCCCCCAGATCCTGCAGTTCCCATCTGTACAATGGAAAAGGTCCTTCTCTGGTGCTTGGTCACTCGGAAGATGTGGTAGCCAATCCAGTCCAATATCAACACCCCCACGGCATTGGCTGTGCCCAGCTGGACAGGCTGGGAAACCAAAGACAAACCCTGGGGAGCACAGAAACAAGAGTCACTGACTTGCAAGATGTGCTCAGCATGCCAGACCTATTACCTGACTACAGTGACCCACAACAGACAAGAAGAAAGGATGGATAAACCCACTCCACCGCTACAACTCTGGAAAACTTGCACAAAACTCTGCATCCTCCATTTCCCTTCTCTCTTTCTCTCTCCACAATTGCACTTCTCTGTGAAACAAGAAGTGAGAAGTTGCCAGGATGCAAACAAAGCAGGAGAGAAGGAAAAAGCCAAAGATCCAAACTCTTCCCTGTATTTATTACCTTGGGGTCTCCTCAGTAGAAAGCACAGCACCACATGGACTATTCTGAGGTGTGCAGGCATTTGGACTTCTGCC